ATTAAAAGCGTAAGATGTATAACATATAATTATAATATTTAATCCTGAAATAATCGATTTATTTTAAATACGAAGAAGCATAAAAAAACTTATAAAATCATATTAACTCATAGAGTTAATTATTATCGACGTGTTAGTTTATGAATCAAAGACGCTTTAATGCCTTGTTCAATAGAATTTATTGGTTAGATGAGTAATGAGCAATAAGAAAATATAAAGTAGAAAGTAAAATAAACTGTAATAAATATAAAATGCTGATATTCGTGGAACACAAAACTTTTATTCAATTTTATTTATTTTTATTTTTTTTGGTACTTGTATCTATCAAGAAGAAAATAAAGATTAAAGTTGATGATTGCGTTTTTTGTTTCAGATAAAAATAAATTATTATTTCTATAAGATGCGATAACAAGAAAATTGTTAATACTTAATTGAAGTATGGTACTTTATTATTTCTTTTTTGCTTTTTCCGAATATTTCTTAAATGAAACTCAAATGAAACGAGATTTACGTTTGGCTTCCTATTTATTTCAGGAATAAATATTTGTGAAAAAATAACACTTGAAAATTTTGTTAATATAAATATAAATAAATCGTAAATAAATGAATAGGAAACTTTGCAGTGTCACATTACGTATGTCAATTAATTCTGAGCGTCAATGGTTATTTTTTATTCTTATAATACACGACAATTTATTCTATTCTCTTTGACAACCTATTTCTAATTTCTATTAATAATTTGATTTGACGTCAGTACGCGGTGTATAATGCGACGCGTAAATTCACGCTCATTCCAGGCAGGAAGAATCGGTCTCGCCAATTGACGGTAATTAATCTCACGCGATTGTGCAGCGTATATGTCATCGACAGACACGTACTTCACAAGTTAAAACGAAATCGACACGCCTGACGCTCGATAACGAACGAGTACCGCGCGCTGAAGAGAGATCGTGTTAAAAGGTGGATGTTTGTTGACACAGGCGCACCCAGACCCTAAAAAGGGCGCGTGAGAATATCGGTTGATGTTTAAATAGCCCTCCCCGAAAACGGAGAAACGTTAAAATGATTAAGGGTTGTTTTTCAAGCCGCTCCGAATATTATGTATCACAGTCACGAGTTGTAACTGACAACTTCCTTTCCGGTCGTGAAAACAACGTGTGACGTCATGATCATCATGGGTGGTACTGAAAATTACTGCGTGTATTCTTTAATTTCTTATTTATTAATTATTATTTGTTATCGAAAGAAAGAAATAATTAGCCGAATATTGGAAGTTATGTAAAAACATATGTAGAAATTATATAAAGATATATTATATAAAAATATACGTAATTATAAATAATTAATCAGACTGATTAACTAGTTAGACAATGTTTTTGAGAGTTATAGAAATGTTTTTGTCATTTTTACTAAATTCCTCGTATTGATCGTTAATCTTCGACAATGTGGGAAACATCGAAATGACAAACCTCGATAAGATATTATGGTGATTGCACAAAGCGGTATTTGTAAAACGCATTTAACAAAAATGGGCTTGGCGGCCGAAGGGCTAGAAACGATTTGTGAATCAGTCTAACAATAGACTGATTGAGTTTGATAGTCGATACGTTGAATGTCTCTCGCCTAGTGTATATATGTATAACGAGCTCGCCGACAAAGTGCCAACTAATCCCCCGCAATAAGATCGCGGCAGATGCAAGTATCAGCTGCATCGCTAGCGGCGGTCGACACTACATTTTGTAATAAGACATTTCTAGAAACAGGGTTTTCCGTAATTTCGATCGTAACCACATGCGATTTGAATATTTTTCATTCGACATGCAGATTGTATTATACGTTATAGGTAAATTATTGTTTGGATTAATATTATTTCCACTTAACGTTACGTAACATCTTGAGATTTCGAGATTCTCAAGTTAAGATACGGCGATGAATTTTACCGGAAATTCGTCGAGAGAACCATGTTACCTTACCGTATCGTATCGAAAATCATGTTTTAGCCTCGGGCTCGACAAGAAATCATTATGTATTTCCCATGGCTTTATGTTCCGCACACATCGCGTATTTCCATCCTCCCTCGGGATAACGTACGAGCCGGCGCGGCTCGTATTGGCGGGAATCGATCTTGGGTGCGATTTACTCTTTCGGTTTTACAAGTCAATTCAGACTCGTTCGTGGTACATTAAATCCGCCCCTGTGTGCCGCGGTTCTTTCCGGTAGCCGTCATTTCACACGGCATGCTTCGTGAAGCCCACGCCGTTACGGTGGCGAGCCGATCGGTGGCGGGCTGCAAGCTGCACTTAAGCTCGAGATAAGGGACCCGCCCGCTGGGCGGTTTTGCGGTTAAATCGGCAGGAAGGGTCCGCTGCAAGGCACGGTAACTGCAAGTGACCATCTCGTAACTTGTACTGTCCGTTGCAACCTCGGAGGCATTTTCCGTAATAACGTGTCTATAAGACTTTGACTATTATGGCGTTCGATGTAAAAAAAAAGATAATAATTTTATTTATTATAATCGAAAATCAATATAATAACGACATGAAAATTCAAAAGAATTTTGCGAGTTCTAAATTCTAAACAGTGTTTTAAGAACTCAGGATATATTTTAAATATATTTTCGTCATTCTTCAGATATCGTGTGTTATTCTGAGTGATTTCCCGTGTCGATGTTAAAATAACGTATACAGTTAGGATAATACATATTAGTTAAAAGAATATAAATTTTGCATAAAGTTAGTTGTCGATCGAGTGCTTATTATATCATACACAGCACGCATATTACATGCAATTTCTAGATTCACACGAGGCACGTTGTTGTTTTCCGTCATTTTGCTATTGCTAGCTAATGCAGCGACCATAAGATCTTGACATGAGATGGATATCGTATCCCTATAATGCATGGGTTGGTTGGCTGTACCGCTGAATTCTGCATCGCGCACGAACTGTCTTTTGCATATAAGGTTATCGCGGAAGACCCAAGGATCCGGCACGAGGTGCGAATTTTTTCCACGTGGCGAGCGTATATCGGAATCACGACGATATTCTCTCGAAATGAACAAAAAAATGTTGCAACGATCAACTTTGCAATAATAGCTCGTAATAATTTTTATCTTGTTCTGCACTATTGTACTTGTATTTGGCTGCAATAATTTTATCGAGAGAGTTTTTTTGCTATGGCAATCTATATTATATTTTTTACGCTTCGTGAGCATATATTAGCATAATCTGGATAAAAAATCATTATTTATCATAGTCGCGATAATATTTTACCATTCCATTGTTCGATCACGAAGCGTTAAATAAATTTAATCACGTATACCGAAGGCTTTGGAATTTCCTTTCCCTCGTGAGTAAACAGTCCGTCGCAACGTAAACACGTCCGGCCGCGCCGATGAATGAACCGGTCGGCAGGATTTCTTGCTTTAAAATTCATCCTGGCCGCGCGCCAGACAATTCATGCATATTCACGTGACTCGCGCGACCAGCGAGGATGGATGCGGCTGGAGAGGAAGGGCGGGTCGAGGGGGATACGGGGCGGCAGGAAGGGCCAAATAAAAAGAGGAACGCGTCGATAATCGAGATCGGACGTGGTGAAGTGGCCGCGCGTATGAGGCCAGGATCCGTGATTTCAATTTTAAATGCAAGCCCGCGAATCGCTCGTGCGAGAGAGTAGAATGCGAGGGTGGGATGAAAGTTCCAGCCATTGTGCTCATACGTATGCGCATTTCTATAGGTATACCGTCCCCCTCGGTACCCTCGAGCCGGGGTCTTAGTCGGCCCCGCCGCGATGCTGCGAGTCTAGTCATCGTGAAAATGCAACGAGATGCACACGCGATAGCGGCGACTCTCTCTTGTAGATCGAGATGATAAGTTCCAGGGGGGAGATCGCGTGGGGAAAATTGGTTTGCGTTTCGATTCATGCAATTTACGTTACATGATCCGTGTATTTTGAAGGTTTATTCCTTGGTTTATTCCGAACGCGAATCGATTTTTGAAGACCTATTGCAATATATGTAGATCGTGTCGATTTGTCTTCGTACCTCATATAAATTCATAGCTTCAATGCTGTGTGTCTTACATTATTTTCGCAGTAAACATGGGAGATATATATAACGTATATTTAACAAAATGGAAATCGATTAATATTATGCCAGTACTAAAGTTATCGTGTTTCTTGTTTAAATTTATAATGCCTCAAAATTTAAACGAATGTCACCACAAAATTAATTCATCATTTATTATACGAAGCGCGATTAAATAAAAAGCACAACGTTCCGCTGTAAACGTTATGACCACGCAATTGGCGAACACAAATTCGCCGACAACGTATCAATTACCGCTGCTTTCTTTCACCGTTCAATCATGCGTCACGTAGGAAGGGGGGAGGGGGGTCAACAACGTTCCGATGCGCAGATGAACCTCGATTAAACGAATTAAAAGCCTGCTCGTGCTGAACACGGTAATTGGCTGTAGACGATTACGAGATAAGTCGCGCCAATTTCGGCAGCAACACAGCGGAATCGTTTAAATCGCCGGCTCGCCGTCGTTGAATCGGCCCACATGCCGCATTATCCCCCGCCGGCCCCTTTTCCGCCAATCAGTGCTCGTTAAATTGCAAATTAATGCAGAGACGAGGCCGCCGTCGAAAAATTGCAACGCGCGAATTTCACTCGAGTTTACCGGTACTCATCACGACTGTCGCCCATTCCGCACACAGGTCTTTGCTTACCTTATAATTGGATAATAGCCCCGTAACTGTAATTACATAAATCGACAATATGAGGATTGTCCGAAAAACCGAAAGCCTGCGTGAACGTTATTGCGTCGTTCAGAGTCTTTTCGATAACATCACTGTAAATGTTAATTCTATTATCAATATATCAATTAAAAAATAAATACTTCAAAAGATACATTTTATTTTTATTGGTATATATACAAAAAGAAATACAATTGATGGCTATGTACATATATATATGTAGGTTTAAATCTGTTTAAATATGTATTAATATGTATAATATGTTTAAATATATGTATTAATAGTTGATTATAATCAACTAAACATCAACTGAATATTACAATAAGTATAATAACTTATTTATAATAGTCAGTCAATTATTCTTATAGCGTACTGATCATTGGATTAGCCTGTTAATTGATTGGATGAGGTAATATAATGCATTTTAAATTTAATTAGCTTTATCTTATACGGCTAGGTTCTAAAACGAAGAGTTGACTGTTCGTAGTTTTTTGTGCGTCCTGACGTCGCCGTTTGATTCTTCTGGCCACGATTGGCATAAACAAACTTGGATCGTGTTCGATATCGTTTCCGCCTTGGATAAGTCGAACTATAATACTCGCCACATATCCAACTGTCAGCGTAATCGTGAGTCCAATAGGGTTGTACCATAAATAGGAGATGCGATACAAATAAAAGTACGATGATTGATCTGGTTGTACGGTACTGTAAAAAAAAAGAAGTAATGTGTGATTAGTGAAAAATAAATAAATCATAATTTTAAATATTATTCGATGGATGTTTAAAAACGACAAACAAAAATCTTCTTTTTTATAACATCTTGCACACTTTCTCTCTACTTTCTCCTCTTTACTGATTTGTAACATAAAATGACTAATTAGAAAAATATCTCTCTTCTTAAAATAAAAACATTACTCGTACTTGAATTACGCGTACGCATAAATGCACTTATTATTGTCCGCTATCCTCGAAATTATTTCAATTAAATCAGATTACCGTCCATATTTTACGCTTTTTCGCAGGCGGCCTTTCAATTTCTTGCCACATTGAAAATGGACCGGTCAATTTAAACGAATTCCCGCCGACAAAGAGAAAGCTATAATATATCTAATCCCGCTAATAACGGCGCGGCGTGGATTCCGCGAGACAACCGTAATTTCAGTTTATTAACGGTGCAATTAGCGTTATATTTACCATCGTGGGAATGCCAAATAGCAAGCTTTATCGTCCATGAGAAAGCGACAAGCGTGAAAGAAATCAGGAAGCCGGCGTTTAACTCGCGACTAATTACAGCGGGACGAGATATCTCCGCGCGCATAGCAACATTGACGCTCCGCGAATTTCGAAGAGTCGCGATAAGACGATTTACAGCGCGCCGATAATTCATATTCTAATCGTCGCGCGATACGCGCCATGCGCGCCGTCGGGCCGTTCTTTCTCCCCTATCGGTTTCCCTAAGATAAATTTATGCTCATTCGATTCGGTCTGCAACGAGCGAGATAAATGGCTGGCAATTGTAAATACGTATTGCATTTATTGCCGATATGCTGTAATGCCAATGATCATCGCGCGACGCCCGAGGTAAAACTTTTGATATAATTAAAGGAAAAATATTTCATCGTGAATGTTTAAAGTATACAATTTTTGTCGATTTTTTCAGTGTACTTGTAAATACAATATATTAAATAAATATATAGCTAAGTAAACAGAGAAATCTATATTAATCGCGTTTGTAGAATTAATTAATATTTGTGCGTTTTGGATTTTCAGAGACATTTGTAACATGATTTTTTTGGCAAATTATTTTTCTCCTACTATTTGGAAAAGCGAATTTTTATACTGTTTGATATTTTTCTGATCGCTAATTTTTAACCAATGTAGAAAACATTATACATATATAAATAATGCAAGTAATATAAATTCAAAACCTTTTTAAATATTTTTCAAAGCGCTTATTTTTAAGTATTACTTAAATACATTTTTTAATACACTGTGATAACAGAAAAGCATAACACGCAGCTTCAATATTTGCAAAGTTTAGGCGATACAATTGAATGTTGATTTTATTATATTTTCTGAGAATATTTACCTGTTAAAATTCATTTGTTGAGCGAGCATTAATGCTGTAGAATTCGCGCAACCTTCGATCGACACCGGTAACTGCGGAATTGGTGGTTTAGGTTGCCCGAAAGTTGCCCACAAGCTAACGCTCAGCGCCGTAATCATGCCAATAATAGTTCCCACCTCGTTAGCTCTCTCGCTGATCATTCCGAGGGTAAAAATACCTAAAATCGGTCCGCCGATAGCTCCGTGAATGCTCATGGCAAAGGGGACTATCGAGCCCATTGTTTTCGCCATTATTGCCAAAAACATGCAAAAAACGCCATTTGAAACGGTAAGAGCCTTAGCTGTGAAGGTGGCCTTTTCGTCAGAAAACTCTATTCCAAATTTTCGATGTAGTGGCTTCACATAATCCTCGAGCGCTACCGCGGCTAACGAATTCATCATAGCGGAGATCGTACTTAGGCTGGCGCTAAAGACACCGGAAACAATGAGACCGACCAATCCGGGTGGTAAGTTCATCACGCTGAAGTAAGGCAATAATTTGTCGTATGTCGAAATTTTTCCGGAGGCTACGGGATCGCAATCTTTGTAGACCGCAAAAAGTGCCACTCCGACGAAGCATGTTAAAAAGCCTATCAATAAGATGAACGGACCACACAGAAACAGCGCATGCGTGGCCACTTTTACGTTTCTGCGAAAATAAAAATAGATTGTCGCGTGTACAATTAGTGAGAACTTTAAACGAATATTCAATATAATAAAATAAGTAAGTAAATTAACTGTTTTTCGTTTTTTTAAATTACTGCTTATATTTTATTTTATTATATTGTGTATTTATATTTATTTAGTTAAAATTAAGTTATAGGTAACAAGCTTAAAATTTATATCTTTTATAACTACGATAACAGGTGATCTTTAGATTCTCTTTCTTTTTAAAGTAATTATGATGAATAAGATTTTATGCGTTATTAAAGCTTGAGGGAAAGGAAAAGAATACTACATAAACGCGTACTGCGAAGTATAAAATACTCATTGACGTACTTAACGGTCATTAAACGTTGAACTTGCACCTGATTCACCGCAATATAGGCTAGAGTTATCGATCCTCCTCCAAGCAAAAGACTCCACCATGTGTATTGCACAGTTGGATCTATATTCACTCTATAAAAAAGATTATTAATGCACCCCTATTATTTTATTTATTATTTATTATATTATCATATTCAACTTACTCTGAGAAATTTATACGATGTGCCTCTTGCGCGATATTCCAAATGCCAACGAGTCCTCCATCGATGTTCTGGGCGATAACGAAAACGATGATAGACAGAGCGACTAGCATAAGTAAACCCTGGAAGATGTCAGTGATCAAAACCGCTTTGATGCCACCCAATGTGGAATAGAAGGTACAGATTACAGCGAGTATCAAAATGCTCATAATACTAGACAAGCCTGTGGTAGCCTCGAGAGCTAACGAAGGAGCGTACAGCATCACTCCGGTCAATAACATTGTCTCGAAGAAATTAGCCGCGCTTACAAGCAATCGCAGGTACAACCCAAATCGCTTTTCTAGATACTAAGAAAAAGAGAAAAAAATTATATCATAAGCAGCTTACAAAGTATTATATTTAAAATGCATTTCTTATAACCATTTAGAAACAGAATTATTATTAAACATTGGTATAAAAAAGTTATTTTGAAATTTGATTCAAAATCTTTTGAATCAAATTTTGAATTTAATTTGAAAAAAATCTGATTTCTATTTTTAAATAATTTTATTAATTTTATCTTCTCCACTGTTGCTCTGTTTAAAATTTAATGTATTCGATTATATATATTTGTGCGATATTTAAAGATAGTACTAATCTCCGAAGAACATTGAAATGTTGCTTAGACTATAGTAAATGATATTTCTCTCGCAAATAATTTAATAATTACCTCATAAATGCTTACGACCTTCATCTCGAAGAAGACTGGTAGGTAAAAAAAGGTTATGATTGGTACGATGAAAATGCCGGTAGTATAGAATAATACAACGATTAGGCCGCGAATGTAAGCGTCCCCGCTCATTCCGAGCATGGTAATTCCTGATACATGGGAGGCCATCATGGCGATCGAGAGGGGTAAAATACCTAATGAATTGTCCGCAGTAAAGTACTCCTATTGACGATAATTGTTCGATTAATTAAACAGCACTCTTGTAAGGAAGCATCATTCATGACGCGTAATCCCAAGCAAAACAAAAAGTCATCAAAATGGCGTCAAAATGGTGCCAAAATGACTATTAAAAGTTACTTTTCGATCAGTCACGAGTCATCTTAATGTCATTTTGACGTTATCATGATTACCTGATGTTCTGCTTGGTATATTTCCATAAAAGAATTCTTTGTCGTTAGTACGAGATCAAATTAATCAATGTAAATTTCGATGCCATTCTATTTTTTAAGGATAAGTCTTCTTATCATAATTTAAGCCAACATATTAGCCAGCAATGTGATTTGTCTGAATATGTAACTCATTAATTAAAACATTCACGTTTTTAATTAAAATGCCAGTTTGAATTAATAGAGGCTTTAAGGGGTCTCACCACTCCCTTGATACCTAAGTTTAGGATTTTTTGTGAGTAAATAGATAACTTTATTTAAAAGCTGTTTAGAGAACATTGTTGTAAAAATAAAAAAATTTTTTTTTTATTTTTTATATATGTACAATAATGTCCTCTAAGCAGATTTTAAATAAAATTTATCCATTTATTCACAAAAAATGCTAAACTTAAGGTATCATTAAAATCTCAGGGGTGGTGAGACCTCTTAATAAAATTATAAATGTTGTCAGTAATTTTTAGAAAATTATAGTTGACAGGATAATTATTTATAAGTTTTTTTTCTTAAGAATCCATAGAAATAAAATGAGAAAGTACATGCTTTTTATTAATACGTCAGTTCAGATCAAACGTTCATTTCATGATTGCGATATAAATTTTGAATGCATACATCGCTCGACATTTAAAATTTATATGTTATCGATTAACACTTTTCGAGTTATCGAATTGAATTGTAGCAACTTAGTTAATTAACACGTCAAACATTTGGAAAATTGGCCGGGATTTAATTTATTATCGAGAGCCCGTAATTAACACGGATAGTAATATTTATCACAAAATGAGATCGATCGTATACGTAACGGTATAGATACGATTCGCGCGTGGATTATCGCGATCAGATTAGTTTAATGATGAATTGATCTGTCGTGTAGAAATTAATTTTTTTGTAAACTGACCGTTGCAGTACGTTGTCGACCACCGCTGAATCGATAGTAGAGTCCGATAAAGACAGAGATCGACATAACTCCGCCAATCACAAGATAGTCTTGCCATTGCAACCTGTTTATTTCGCTTTCATTAGCTATCTATAAATAAGGAGAAATTCTTTTTTATATTACAATTTATTGAGAAATCGATAGTAAAAGTTTTAAGTATATTTTCTTAACAATTTTATTTTAAAACATGTCTAGCTAACAATGCTAAAATAGCAGCGAAATTATTTTCGTAGATACTTTAAAATTTATAACGAAAATTATTTATAAACTTATTTTGTAAAATAATTGATAGATGTAAAACAGTTGAAGATCATTTTTATTTAATTATATAATTAGTACTTACGTCCATTTCTTGGTCCATTCTGTAAAATTTACACCACAAAATTTACTTCACAAAAATTTAACTTCACTTCGTGTTACTTAAATTTTAGAAATTTCCATCAAAATAAAAGATTTATGCAAAGAATAAAAGATTTTTCTACACTTTGAAGACACAAACAGCACAAAGATCCAAATGTTCATGAGTGTTCGACAAGGTCTTACTAACGAATGTATCCGTTTTCATTGCATGTTGCAAAACGCAACAGAAGTTCTTACGTAAAGAATTGCTCGGCATCTTTAGCGTTAAAGCACGCAAACCACGGATTTTTCATCGGTAAATTAGACTTCATAATAGACGTAGTAATATGCAATTTAATGTTAATTATTGGACAAATGAATGAAAAGTTTATCTACATAAATACCGAGAATATCAGTGAAAATGAAAATTAACTCGCGAAAAAATATATTTAGCTATGTTTATTGTAAAAAAATGTATATATATTATATATACATATAAATATATATAAAAGAAACTTTTTAGATCAACGGATTTACGAATGTTGCGATCGAGAGCTGTAATATTAGATACGGATATACCGGTTGAAATACATTGAATCCTGAGGAAAGATTAGATGGCGATCATTGGATAAGGCTCAACCTTAATTTAATGTGCCGTAGACGATATCGTTCAAGATGATTATCTTTACACGTTAGTTGCTACGATCGATCAATTCACTTAACAGCGATGAAAACGAAAAGAGACAGGTAGGAAATCCGAATCGATAGATACGTTTAATCCCGACGTTAATTAAATAACAAACATAATTAAATCTATCTAATGGTAAGGGATTATGTCTTCGCCAATATTATATATCGTATAGTATTTATATTTCTAACACACGCTAAGTGTGCTTAAATTTTTGTTTTGTACTGACTATGAACAGGTTTTCCGTGTGCATCTTCCGATCTTAAAATGCAATAATGTAGTTCACATTTTTAAAGACAAGATTTAAAAGATGTTAGATAACATAATAATATGGTGATAAAATAAGAAGTGATAGAAAACTTGTTTCTTATAGAAGACATACGAAAGCGGTGAGTGCGATTTCTATTACATCGACATAATAATTATCTATGTAATAATGTTTTGATCGTATCAATGATTTTTAATATTATAACACTTTATACTATTAACTTTAAGAACAAAGAATTGTTGCAAAAATGTACGAAGAATTGATGACTAATAATTGAATTGGGGACACTTTAGATTTTTTAAATTAAAGTTATTTTATTAAAGTTACCATATCAAATGTTAATATATTTTCATGAATGAAAGTTACATGATTGATGATTTGAAGAATTAAATATGTACGCGCGCGCATTCTTTTTTACAATATATACGTATACTTGTTTTATAATAATTTAAAACAAGAGAAAGAACGAGGAAGAATGTTAGTAAAAGTGCTAACGAAAATGGGAATCCATTATCATGTTCACTTTGGCGCGTATTTGATTACCTTGTTCGTATTTAATGTACTTTTTTCGATATATAATTAGTTCATACGCGGCACAATGATGGTTAATGACAATCCCCGCTGTTTAAGCGTCGACTAATTTCCTACATTGTTATTGGTCTGTCGACCGCGTTGTTTTACGGGAATAGCATTGCCGATAAAAGAGGGGAAAGGAACTGTGGACAAAAGAGGAACGGGACGGGAGAGAAAGAGAGGAGGCTAGAATGAGGGAGAAAAAGAGGAACTCGTAAGTGGTGAATTCCCGTCATTAAGTCGTTAGCCGGACGACAGCAGACTAACTGTCGGCTAACTGGCTGCTGAACTTGATCGACCAATCGTTGACCCCCACGGTCAATCGAAATTTACCGTGTGTTAACCACTCTTGTTCCACGTAATTCGTCGATATTATCCGGATGCGTAGACCGCTTTCGATAATTCGACGAGGGAAAGTATGGCGGTCGTGAGGCAGCTGAACGGTTCAATTTGAAGGTAGTACGAGGGGTTAATGTAAATTTTGTTCGCGAGTCAATTATTTGGAAAATCACGTGTGTTCCCTATTTCGATGTAAATTTGTTCGCGAGTCAATTACTTGGAAACCACGTGTATTCCCTATTTCGATCCGTAATTATTTTTTTGTCATTATTATTAAGAACTTGTAAAAAGATAGTGGCGAAGTACTAATTGATCTTGCTCTTGTTATACGCGATTACGAATTCTCAGAAGCGTTTGACATCAAGAGAGCTTTTTCACACTCATCGTGTATACTCTGGCATTAACGTCACCATTTCGATGCAGGTGTTAATTAACTTGACGTGCATTTAGCGAATCTCGCTGGCATTTTAAAGTTTGTGAAACGCATAAATCCAGAATTTCATTTCTCTTTCAGTGTATACGAGGCGTGATATTTTCGACCGTGCCATTAAATATATCTAATATATATGCATTAATCCTGTGCTGTCATCAGGATTTTAGTTTTAATCTCTGACAAACTGAAGTAGATTTCACCTTTTCTCGTGCAAAATTTTATCCCCTGGAATACATTCTTTTTAAATTAATTGAGATTATATTTAGATATCTATAATCTCTATTTTATAAATAAATAACGAATATCATATGACGCACTGCCATCCACTGTGCAGCTATAGAAGAAGTTTTAATGCATCCGAGCAGGTGTGAAAATTACCGTTATTTGATTCGCCTGAGAATGTAAGCCGATCTGATAACGCTCGCGTGCGAGCGAGCTGATTCCCATAATTAATTCCAATCATTAATTAATAACGCGATGGTTGATCCCCTGTCTCATGATTGTGGTATTCGACTCAATTCGTGCGTGATGCCACGCTTCGTCTACCGTGTTGATTTCGCGCTCTTAATTAATCCAATGTATTTAATACGAGGGGAACGTAATAATCACAAGGATTAATTCCAAGAGTCAATATCTTTGAACATTTTTAGGAAGGTTTTAGGAAGATTTTTAGGAAGATTTTAGGATTAAATGTGTATCTAATAAACAACGATAAGAAGCGATTTTTCATATAACAAAAAATGCAAGAATGAATTTCTTTTGTATAATATTATTCTCTTGATTATTCTTAAATTTATTCGCAGAAAAGACACTTTTATATCGAATTTCGCCGAGCCAACGTTAGTTGTTATGACACTTGGCATAATTGGACTTGTCTCATAAATTGCGATTCAGAATCACGTGATCTTATTTACAATATCTTTTTAATCTCTGTCCGTCGACGAAGCGTTTCTACTCACGTTTATTTAAATCATCTGAGCTCATCAGGTATCAAATTAATGCTATCCAACCGTCTTTTTCACGTCTATTTGAATCATTGTAAAACAAAAAAACGGTTCTCGTCACGTCTTGATCAATTTTTGGTCAGTACCCTTACAGAAATTTAATACTAGAAGGAAGTGATTAATTACTTATATTAAGTATTAAAATTACTGAACAATAGTATTTCTTTTAGACTTTACTCAAAAAATAAGTAATTTCAGTATCAAATTGGATCTCTGTAAGGATATTTGTCGCTTTTCTTAGTATTTTTCTTAGTGTTTAATCCGTTTCATTCGTTTATACTCTAAATATTATGTTAGGAAAGATAAGTCATGAGTTTTTCGTAGACTATTATATCTTGACTCATGTGAATAAATTGATACATATGAAATCACAGACGCGTGTACGTGCGGTTAGACTCAGATAAATTATTTTCTTAAAAGTCGTTTTATATTACGTATTACGGAAACATCTTATTATTGGCATTAATAACAAGCGTTTTGATGTAAAAGACGTGGAACTGCAGCTCATCAGAGTATTTTATATGCACATAAAAGTACATAAATATTGATGTCGCCAATATTTTAACAATATTGTTAAAATAAAAGATATAAATTTTAATGTTATTATTACTTTTTGGTGTGCCTTTGGTTTGCTAATTCATATGATTTATATTAATGAATTATATTAATTACGCATATATATATATATATATGTAACAGACACTTCGATGCGGGATATTATGTTTTTCTCACATTAATATATCGTGGCTGGGAAGATTTCGTGGATTAAGCCTAAAAAGTTTATATTAACAGCAACCGTTAGTCTTCATTAAGTCGCGCAAGTGTCAATTGGTTCCCTTGATATTATCGCATAGCTCGGCGTAACTCGAAGATGCGGGCATCGCTATATGAATTCCAGGGCAAGACAAAAAATTTATAGGTCTCTTCAGTGCGGCACGTAGTACGTTACCAAAGCTGTCAATTAAGTTGATTAACAAAGTCGTGCGCTCTTCACCAGTGGAGGCAGAAGAAATGCCGCGCGAAGGCCTTTTTTTTACCATGCAACGCACGTATCGCCGAACGGCAAACTTGCCGTGAAAAGTAGAATATGACAAGATCGCGTATTAAAATTCCTGCATGCGTCGCGGCGCCGGTTAACGCGACTAACGAACTGTAGCGAACGACGATTTTTCGACGGTGTACGCCGGAATCTGCCGTGATGTCTAGCTTAACGGATATTCGAAATCGATAAACTGCCAACGTTAAGCAAATTTGCATGTAATGCAGTTTGACGTTCTGCAACTGCGAAAATCGGAATCAGTGAAATTCGATAGCAATTTGAACGAGGGAAAATGTCCAATTTGTTAACATTGTATATTTTTGTATTCTTACGTACGTCTTTCGCGCGATACTTATTTAATCGATTACTTAACTGATATTAATTTTACTCGTTAGTGCCGATGTTATCAACTTAGAATTAGTGATTGCAAAGATTATCGAACGATCTTAATTATTGTGAAAATGAGATTAAATTATTATATGAGGATGTAATATAGAGATTTCAAATATTAAACATATTATGACGTGCTGTGTCAAAAAGATTGATACATGAAACGCTTGAATGCGTTTTTACGTATTACCACGGTTGTGCCATGTATTGCGACACGGAATATTCAGATCCGCGGTGCACCTGCGAGATAGAAACATTTCCGACCACTGCACCGGTGCGGCGCGGCGTCACGCAACAATCACGATGTCGGTTACGTCAAACGACATTCCCGGCAAATTCTTTCTGTTGCAATTTCGATGCCGCGTTCGATATATCGACCGACAATCACTCGCGATCAAGGCCGGTACGGGTGCGGTCATTAATTGTATTAAATTACATGGGTTGAAGGAAAAAGCGAGGCAAAGTATTCATGAA